TTCCAGAGAGGTCCTGCTCTTGGTCCCACCACTTTTGCAGTTGCGAAAGGGCACTTTGATCTTTCTCCAAAATGTTTGCTAAATGTGCATGAATTAACCAAAAAGGCACATAAGCAGGGAAGGTTTTCAAGAAGACTTGTAGTATTTGTAGTCTGACAAGGCATCAAAACACCAGCATGAAATCTGCTTCCTTTGAAACCTGGTACAAAAAATGGATAGCAGCAGAGTCTTGTTGTTAAAGGTTAATTTAAGAATATGGCAATATTTGTTGACTTGTACCTTTACATAGTCTTCAAATACTTATGGTAAACATGGGGGTTTCTTGACAGGATTTGTTCAGAGGAGGTTTTCTCTTGCTTTAGAGGCTGAGAGAATGGGACTCACCCAGTGAATTTCCATGGCCGAGCAGTGAGGCAAATCCTGGTCTCCAAGAATCTTAGTCCAGCACTCAAAGATCTCTTCTCCATTGCCTCTCAATGTCATGTCACGATGAGACATCCTTTGCTTGTTTCTTTGGTCATCTGAAATGATTTGACACTCCTTTCCCATCACTGAGAAGGTTTGGCAGACTTCAGAGTTCATGGTGAAAACCAGGAAGAATTTGCCTCCTTCTCAGTTACAGAAATATGTTAATCATCTTGCTCCCCCATTGTGATTAGATTCAACTGTAGTATAAACAAGGAAGGGCTGCAGGGAATTCATTACAGTGGAATAGGTTGGTTCCATTTTTAATGCAGCACAAACTGGATGCTTCGTGGACAGTGGAGACCTCTGTGCAAACCTCCAAGGGCTGTCTGTCTGCTTCCGTGCACAATTCAAAGTGGTGGCCTTGGCCTATAAAGCCCTATACGGTTCCGGCCCAGCTTACTTGTCTGAACGTATCTCTATGATCTGCCTCAGAGTCTAAGATCATCCGGGGAGGTCCTGTTCTTGATCCCGCCCTCCTCGCAAATGCGACTGGTGGGGACAAGAGGCGGGGCCTTCTTGGTGGTGGCCCCTGTCTGTGGAACACCCCAATGAAATTAGGTCGGCTCCATCTCTCCTTTCCTTTAGGAAAAAAACTCAAATCATGGTTTTGGGAACAGGCATTTGGGTAGCAGGCTTAACAGTAATCGCAATGCTTCATGAGAACTGATAATGGACAGGCTTTGGACTGGGTCTCTAGATACCGACTTGGACTTGGATGTGACTATATTGTTGTCAATGTCTTAAATGGATATTTTGCAACTTAATGTTTTAACTAATGTTTAATGTATGTTATATTGTTTTGTTTGTATGTATGCGTTGGCATCAAATTGTTGCCAGTTGTAAGCCGCCCAGTCATGTGGAGGAACCAGGGGTTGAGAAGGACAGGGTACAAATGGTTGAAATAAAATAAATAAATAAACGTACAGAAACCCATCAGGTGGGTTCGCATGGAAGTCCATGTTACAGAAGATGCAATGATTTTTGCAGACAGCTGAATTTACTACAGGCAGAAAGAGCTAGTTATGTAATAGGCCTTTTCCCTTCTGTCCTACAGTTTGTGATATATAGCAGTTGGGATGCTTCCAAATGGGCAGCAGCTTTGGTAAAGAGACACCGTGGACCTATTCTGCCCTTCCCTTAATGAATGTTCTTGTTAAAAGGAGGCAGAAACAGGAGAAACATGAGAAGATTACAAATGTCAGGTGTTTTTGTCTGGACGTTTTGTAAAATTCTGTGAAGAAGGAAGCACAAGGGTAGCCTAATCTGTTTTCACTCTTGGAAATCAGATAGCAGATGAAACCTGGAGCTCTAAGCCAGAAAGTTTTGGGTGGTTGTTATCAGTGAATAACTGTCCATCCTTCTGAAAAGATGAGCTTGCCCCCTTATCTTGCACCCTCTGTGTGTCCAGTTCTAATCAACCAACTCCTTTTGTTTCAGCCCATCACGTACAAAGACATATTGATGCAAATAGTGCAAAGGAGGAAATGGTTATCAGTCCCTGGTTATCAGGACCATCTGTGCCCGGAAGAGCAGGCTTCTGTGTGCAATCAGGGTGGTGTTGTGGTTAGATTATTGGAGTAATAATAATTTTATTTCTTACCCACCTTTCCTTGTGGCTCGAGGTGGGTTACAGCATAGCTAAAACACATAATTATCATAAATATTATATAAAATATCCATATTAAGTGGTGTATTAGCCAAAGCTGGTAGTAAGTACTCCTGACCGTCACACCTGCCTAGGTTGACATTTGGATAGACTAATCCAGGAGCCCTTTTTCCAAGCTGCAAGCACAGTCTTTCAGGGGGAGTGTAATCCCATCCAGAACTGGTTGACACCTCCATCCTCAGGTTAGTAGGATTCTATAGAACAGGATTCAAATTTCTGCTAAAGCGTGGAAGCTCATTGACTGATCCTCAACAAGGCATATTCTCTCAGCCTCAGAGGAAAGCAAAGACAACCCTTCCTGAACAAATCTTGCCAAGAAAACCTCACAATAGAGTTGCCATAAGTCAGAAATGGCTTGAAGGCACACAACAACTTTATTGGAACTGCAAATTTAATGAAGTTCTTGGTAAGTGGAACAAGTTGTCCCATATAGATCCCTCTACTGCTTAGCCAGAATTGGGAACAATAATGATTGAAGCTGATAAGCTTATTTGTAGCAATGCATCAAGGGATTGCTGTGCAGAGCAAGTAGATTGCATGCCATGTGACAACATCACACTTAGCTTATATAATCATCTGATTAGATACTTTCTCAAATATTTTCCCCACGCAGTTCTCTAGTGATAGGTACCCATCTGAATTCAATCGAGCATAATGTATGAGTCACTTGGCTATTATTAGAGTATTCTGAGATCTTCAAACAAAATACCTTTAAAAAAATAATCATATTCTGCTTCAACTAGTTCTCAGGATGAATTTGCAGTAGCATGAGAATTGGTGTTGGACCATGGGCAACTGAATAAAGCAGAGGAGCCAATTATACCACTTTGGAGGTCATACAGACTGCCTGAAACAGATTGACTTATAACCCTATAACCCTGATTTGGAAAAAAATGTTATTGTGATGTCAAATAGTGTAGGCCACCAGCACAGATTCTGCAAGCTTCCAGGAGCCTTTCCAGAGCACACAATTATAGCACCTTGCTGTTTCAGCTGTTACAGCTGAATCCTGTACAATCCTGGGGTTTTGAGTTTGGTATGGCAATGTAGCACTATGCCTGAGGATTATGAACACTCCTTCTTAAACTGCAAATTCCAAGTTTCTGTAGGGTGGAACCATGACAGGTAAAGTGGAATTATAGCGGCATAATTATGTGTTGTGAAAGGCCCCAGGAAGTATTTAGAGTTTGCCTTCTTTGTGGAGGAGTGTCCAAAGATTTACATGCCACCACCTTAGAAAGTTTCATCCCCACCAAGAGGGCCATTTTTGGGAGAGATAGCCTATGTGCCCCCATGAGAAATACTAGAAGACGGGTCCAGAGAAGAGATCAAAGTTATGTGGTTTGAATATAGGGTGGAGAGACATCAAACCCTTTTTGGACAAGGTAAAGGAGAGGCTTTTTTCCTGGAGGTCATTATATAATTGCTCTTATTTTCCTGTCTCCAGTAAAATAACTGGGTCAGATGCTTTTGAAGACTTACTGGAGAATTCATGCACACTGCTGAAATCTGTTTCCAGATAAGTTGGGGGTAGATGCCTTATTTTAAAGCAATGAAATAATTCAGGAATTTGAGACAAAAGTGAAAAGAGCAATTCAGAAGTCTTCTCAACATGCATATATGTTTATGTTAACACCTTGTAGTTCTCACCTTGTGGAAGACCATTAGAAAAGAGGCTTCCAGAAATGCCTACCATGCAAAAACTGTCAGAGAAATGTTGATGACATATTATATGAATCTTTCCAGATCCTTACTTTCTCCTGAAAAAAATTGTGTTAGGAGGCTATGAAGTAGGTTGTGTAGTGTCCCTATTGAGGGAAGTTTTGGTAACACTGTATTCTACTTTGGTCAGGTCTTGTATGGAATGCTGTGTCCAGTTTTGGGCAAACAGTTCAGTAAAGGTGGAATGTGTCCATGTTATTGTTTATCTGTTCAGTTGCTTCTGACTCTTCGTGACCTCATGGACCAGTCCATGCCAGAGCTCCCTGTCAGCTGTGGCCATTTCCAGCTCCTTCAGTCAAGCCAGTCACTTCATGGATACCATACATCCATCTTGCCCTTGGTCAGCCTCTCTTCCAATGTGTCCATAGGAGGATGAAATAGATGGTATAAAGTCTAGAAACCAAGTTCTTTGAGGAACAATGTAAGGAGATGTAGACATTTTACTTGGAGAAGATGATTGAGGGGTGATACAATGGCTATCTTCAAATATTTGAATGGATGTTATGTAGAGGATGGATCAAGTTTGTTTTCTGTTGCAGAGACCAGGGCACAAACCACTGCATTTAAATTATATGAAAAAAGATTGTGATTAAAAATTAGGAAGAATTACCTGAAGGTGATTGCTGTTCAGAATGAGAAGAGATTGCCCTGGGAAAGATGGAATCTTTTTTGGGAGGGCCAACTCTTGGAGTGCTTTAGTCTTTCTGTGAGACAGTGAATTGGACGTAGGTGGCCCTTGTGGTTTTGTCCAAGGATGATTTTATGCTAGAAATCCTTTCCCAGCTTGGAGTTCCTATGTGCTCTTGGGCAACAACTCTTATTATCTATAGCCATCATGTTGTTTTGAATAATGAGAACTGGTTTCCAGCAATATCTGGGAACCCAAGATTGAGAGTAACAGGGTCGAACGTTTCTTTTTTAAATTCTGCATTTAAGGATTTGTGTACCATTTGCATATCAGAGGAACTTTTTCAGTCACATAAACTTGAACCCACAGTCTGAAGGGTAATAGTTCAGGCACGTTTTACAGTACCATCTCGTTGAGAAGCAGAACCTAAGTGTGTATTTTTCCAGCTTTTCATTCCTAATTAATTTTAAGTGCAGTGGAGCTCAATTTTCTTTTCCTTTTTCTCTTCACATATAGGTAGGCTGTGATATTAAGTTTTCTATTTATGCAGGATTTTGTAGCATATAAGGTGAGTTCACATTATTTTACATGAAATACATGCATGATTTTTAATATTATTTTCATCACCTGCAAGAACCTTATGAATATATGAGGACTAGTATTTTGAATGACAGTTTAGCAAATCCCCACATTAGCTAGAGACCCACCTGATTTTTAAAAAATCAGTTTCCTCCTATTATGTGTGTTAATTACGCTTATCATCTTTGAGCAGTGGTCAATCAGACTGATTGGTGCTGGACTGTGAATGATCAACTCCTGGTATAGGTAAAGTTTCTGGGAAAGAAAGAAAAACTTCTCGCAAATGGAAGAAAATATGGCAGCGGTCCCTGGCAGATTAGGAAAATAAATTGCTGGCCCTCCCCCTGTTATATAACCTGAAATACACTCATGTGCCATATAATGCAACCAGTACCCTCCTGCATTGTACTAAAAAGATGAATAGTGATAATAAGGGTTCCTTTCAGGAAATCTTGTTCACCACTGTTGATCAGGGAAGCTTATGAATGTTGTATTGTTGAAGGCTTTCATGTCTGGAATCACTGGGTTGTTGTAGATTTTTCGGGTTGTATGGCCATGTTCTAGAAGTATTCTCTCCCGACGTTTTACCTGCATCTATGGCAGGCATCCTCAGAGGTTGTGAGGTTCACAACCCTTCTAAATGTTCCTTGCAACCCAATGGACCACATCATCTGATCTGTTCTTTTTATTTCTGTCTAGATGGTATCTCATTAAACACCACTCCTGTCCCAAATCTAAAGAAGATATCTCTTCCGTTAAAATGACAAAATACAGACTCGTCCTGCTGAGACACGGTGAAGGGGCCTGGAACAAAGAGAACCGCTTCTGCAGCTGGGTGGATCAGAAGCTGAGCAGCGATGGGGTGAAAGAAGCTCAGAACTGTGGCAGGCACCTCAAAGCACTTGGATTCGAATTTGACCTTGTCTTTACGTCCATCCTCAGCCGTTCTATTCAGACTGCTTGGCACGTCCTGGAGCAGATGGGGCAGGAATGGGTTCCCACCGAGGCTTCGTGGCGGCTCAACGAGCGGCATTACGGTGCCTTGATTGGCCTCAACCGGGCCGAAATGGCCCTCAACCACGGTGAAGAGCAGGTGAAAAGGTGGCGGAGGAGCTATGATGTCACGCCGCCTCCCATCACGGAGTCCCATCCTTACTACCACGAAATCTATAACGATCGCAGATATAAGCACTGTGACGTGCTCTTGGAAAAGCTTCCCAAGGCTGAAAGCCTAAAGGAAGTGCTTGATAGACTCCTTCCCTACTGGAATGGGAGGATAGCACCAGAGGTGAAGAGAGGCAAGACGGTTCTCATTTCTGCTCATGGGAACAGCACGAGGGCTCTACTAAAACACTTGGAGAGTAAGTTATTATATGTTGGCTTTAGGCTTTGTAACAATCATGTCTATTTTAATAGAGGTGTTCTCCTTTATCCACTAGTGGAAGAAGTAAACTGTGTGACAACTGAGGTGTGACCTCTCAGTTGTAGAATGCCTGCCTGTTTGAGGCCCAGTTGGTCCATATCCTGGCTTCATTCTGGTCTCAGAGAAAAACATAGCTTTTTATCAATTCCAGAATTTCCTGATGATACTTGAAATTGTGAGCAGCGGCAAACACACTTGGAGCATCTCATGCCCCATGCAGGGAAGAGTAGTTTCTTTGGCTCCTTCTCTCTGCTGATGGGGCACTTTTGTGTGTGATGTCTTCAGTTCTGAGTGTCTTCCCCTGAGTAGTTATACAACAGCCATCCAGTAATCTTAAATCTGCCTCTTCAATCTGAGCTTGCACATGTAGGTTTGGTATTTCCCAATATGAAACCTATATATCATTTGTCAATTAAACTGTCTGGGTTCAACCTTGCATAGGCCAACCAGTTCCTTAAAAGGCTGAGAGAGTGGGGGTAAGTTAATAATAATTCCTAGGCTATTGCCAAATTTGGCCAAGCCTTTTGTAAAGAGATGACTGACTTGAGTTCCTTAATAAATCAGCCTGGTATGTCTTCATTTGCTATGTTAGTACCACAGCCAAGCTGTAAAAGTGGAAGAACACAGGGCTGTTTAAAAGTAGTTTGCTTGAGTGGCTTGGTGAGAACCAATTCTTGTCTTGCTACCCAGATTGACGGCTGTGTTATTGGCATTTGTAGGTAGGGGACAGATATCAGAGATTGCAGATCACATGCATTGCATGCACCAAGTCCTAGATTCAGTCCCTGGCAACTCCAGAGAGGCCTGGAAGGAAAATAAATCCTGTCTTGAAGCTTGGAGGTCCATTGTTAGTCAACAGTACTTGGGCTGGGTTGTTGTAGGTTTTTTCGGGCTGTATGGCCATGGTCTAGAGGCATTCTCTCCTGATGTTTCACCTGCATCTCTGGCAGAAGTAGTGAGTACTTGGGCTACTCATGGTTTGACTCGCATTTCAACAGACTTTTAATTCAAGACTTCAAGATATGCTCATGTGAAATAAAACAACCAACTTAAATAAGATTTGCACAAACAAATATTTTGAACCTTCTAGAGACCAACTGAAGGCTTCTTACAAAATGCATTTAAGATTTTTTTTTTCTTTAACTAGACTTCACTATGATTTCCATTTTGGTAGCCAAGCTTCATAATGGTGCGCTTTTAACATGTTAGGGCAGCTGGCTAATCCGATGTCCACTTATCTTCCTGTTTTGCTGCCTATGTTTCCTTGGTAAGGGATTGTGGAGGAAGCTGCTGTACTTGGGCAGGATCACAAAGTCATGAAAGGCTTAACGAGAGTAGAACCCTCCTCTGTTCCAGCTCAAGCATAGTTTATTGCATTTTCACTACAGAGATGCAGCTACACACCAAACACCGAAGCTCTGTGTGTTTCTTCAGTCTGCCAACATCCACCTAAGGCTATGCTGATGTTAGACATTGGATGAGAAAGAAAAGGGATGGGGCTGAGCAAGTGTAAAAAACCATTTGTAAAATGTAGCTTCACTGCCAGCGGCTTTGCTGAGATATGTTGTACTTCAGGTGACCCATATATGTGCCCTTTGAAGAACTTGGATTTAGGTTTGCAGCTTCTTGGCAGTACACATTTTACCACATCCCTGTTTCAGAACTGGAAGCTAATTTCACATGGATTGCTTTACCATTGAGCCACTTTGTCAAGTATATCGTTGACTTGGAGTCCAGAGACTTTGAGGTACTTGATTACCAGATTATCCGGCACAGGATTTGCGTAGGCATTGTTTTAAATTAACCACTTCCAATGAAAACATTTTAAAATAAGCTCTCGTTTCTGACTCACTTATGGAGTTTTTTGAAACGCAACCCTTTCAAAAGGGAAGGTGCACCAATCCCTCTGCATTCTTAGTACTAGGGAGGAAAGGGCAGGAAGTTTTTGCTGGCCACATGAAAAAGAAAGTCAGAAACTGAAGATTAAGGAGTCTGGAAAGGGTTTCATTGATCTTATCTTCCATGGAAGGGAAAAATCTGGTGGAATGTCCTAACTAGTAAGCATGACTTATTGATTGGATGAAAGTGATCCATTTAGTGATGGGGGTGACTAGTTGTAAAATTGGTAATTTTATTACAAGAACGTAGTCTTGTTTCTTCTGAGTTTGGCAAAATACAGAGGAACCAAGGATGTTGTTTGATCTGAAATACCAAAGAAAGCTTGCATGGCAGCCAGTCGACCCTAAGGATTATCTTGGAACACCTTCATTCATGTGTTAATGTGGTTTGACTATAGAACTCTGTCCTTTTATTCTTGCTGAGAAGTAGGCCAAAAAAGGTGGAAATACAATTTACAAATTTTGTAGAAAACTGTGAATATATCTTATGTGATTGCCCTCGCAAAGTCAATATAATGAGGGCTAGAGAGCCAACATGAACATGAGGAAGAACTTCCTAACTGTGAGAGTTGTTCAGCAGTGGAACTCTCTGCCCCAGAGTGTGATGGCTCTTTCTTTGGAGGCTTTTAAACAGAAGCTGGATGGCCATCTGTCCGGGGTTCTTTGAATGCGATTTTCCTACTTCTTGATAAGCCCCCACCTTAGAAAACTTCAAGAAGGATCTCAAAACCTGGCTTTTCTGTTGTGCGTTCGGAGAGTAGCCATACAATCCATACACTGCTTCTCCCTCCTCAACGTTTTTGTTCCTACAGTACACTTCCTCCCACTTGTACGAAGACCTATTTCTTACAACCCCGTTTCTTTATGAGCTTCTCCCTCACAAATAATCTGCTCCATTCCTATCTCACCCTGAGTTTTTAGTATTTTATCTTGCACATGCGGCCTGCTCATTGTGATTACGAATGATATTGCATTGTATTTTATATTGCTTATTGTATTCATATTTTTTATGTATTTTACTGTGTTGTTGTTTGTGTTTTGTTTTTTATTTTATTGTAATATGTTGTTGGGCTTGGCCTCATGTAAGCCGCCCCGAGTCCCTGTTGGGGAGATGATGGCGGGGTATAAATAAAGATTATTATTATTATTATTATTATTATTATTATTATTATTGGTAGGGGGTTGGACTAGGTGGCCCACGAGGTCTCTTCCAACGCTATGATTCTATGATGTAGTGGTTTGAATGTATTCAAGTATTCGTTAAACATAAGAATGCTCATTTTCTAATACTGTACATTGCTGTATTTTAAAACCTTCATATTAATATTTAGAGATAAGTCTTGCCTTGAAAAGCATTTTTCTTGTTCCAAAGAAGAAATATTTCAGAGTGGTTTCCAGCATATCAATTTTTTCTAGTTCCCCACTACAAAAATTCCAATTTCCCTTTTTAAATGTGGACCTTCAAATCTTTAAGTAGACATACCATGACATGGCAATGGACAGTTTCTCAAGTATATTGTCAAAGGTTTTATGGCCGGAATCACTGGGTTGTTGTAGGTTTTTTCGGACTATATGGCCATGTTCTAATGGCATTTTCTCCTGATGTTTCGCCTGCATCTATGGCAAGCATCCTCTGAGGTAGTGAGGTCTGTTGGAACTAGGAAAAGGTGTTTATATATCTTATATATTTGATTGCACTGCCAGGCAATCAAATGCTAATCAAGGTGATCAGTTGAAACATTCACACCTGGCTCCAGCAGGCAAGAGTCCTTTGTCCCACCCTGGTCATTCCACAGATATATAAAGCCTTTTTCCTAGTTCCAACAGATCTCACTACCTCTGAGGATACTTGCCATAGATGCAAGCGAAACGTCAGGAGAAAATGCCTTTAGCACATGGCCATATAGCCCGAAAAACCTACAACAACCCAGTTTCTTGGGTATTTAGGTGGACCTTTGCTCTTTCATGCTTGGTGAAAACGGCTGGGATTGCAGCACAAATAGATATGGATGCAACACTGCAATGAAAGTTCAGTCGGGTTGTGTTACATGTCTTGAGAAGTAATGAGAAACTGGCTTGGTTGAAACATAAGGCAGTGCAGGAGACTTGGAGAGGTGAAACCAAGAAGGAAAAGGTCTCAGGTCATCTGAGGCCTTTATTTATTTATTTATTTATTTTACAAACTATCTTTGTTTATGAATGTAAACAAACTTCAAACAAATGCTAACAGGAATCCCTCTATTGGTTAAATATGATGCAACTGAGTGCTTTCTTAGATAAGTAAGCAGGAATATTTCTTAAATGCCATGGCTCTCCTTATTTTCCCTTGAGCTAAATACAGGGGCTGGTCTGAATCAGCAATAGCTTCCGATGTTTCCCTGCAGTTAGCATCCTTTTATTGTGCCAATTCGTTCTCTCCAAATGCAGCAATTCTCCCATTTCCCATGCTTTCGTCTCTGGTTAACAAAGCAAAAAAGCTGCAAACTATTAGTGATAATCAGTAGTTTGTCTCCATACACAGCTATGTTTGTAAATATGACAACGCTGATGTATTTGTTTAAAAAATACAGAAAACAAGGCTAATAATTGACATAGAGTTTTAGTTCAGGGTTTACATAGCAATGACCGTTAGTATGAGCTGAGGTCATCCAATAAGTTATACACTCTGAGCCCCAGAGAAAGGCAAAGGTGAATTACTTCTGGACAAATCTTTCCAAAAAACCTGTGTGATAGGTTTTCTTTAGGATTGCCATACACAGAGACTCTTCAAAGTCACACAACAACACAGTATACAGTGGGCTTTTAGTATCCGTTGGGGTTTAGTTCAAGGATCCCCACTGATACCAAAATTAGAAGATGCTTCTGACTCATAATGTACAGTGCCATAATAAAAAAAATATTTTATTTGTTTAATATTACTATATTTATACACTTCTCTTCTCGCCCCAAAGGGGACGTAGAGCAGCATATAAATTAAGGCAAAAATTCAATGCCGTATCATACACACAACAATAAACATACCATATCAAATTATAAAACAGTTAAAACATATAAACAGTTGACACAGTGAGAAAGGCGACTCTTCCCCTTGTGCTGCTCCATTGCCTTGACAGGATTAAAAACATAGATAGTGCCAAGTTTTGATTTTCCATACTTCTTGATTTTTCCATAGTCATTATTCAAACTGCTAGACTGAAGTTGAATTTCATATTACCCTACTCTCTGATTCCCTCTCTGAGCCAAGTCTTTAACTTTTTCCCGAAGATTAGGAGGGATGGGGGCAGTTTGATGTCAGTGGGGAGGGAGTTCCACTGGGAAGGCCCTGTTTCTCGTCCCTATCAGTCGCATTTGCAAAGGGGGTGGGACCGAGAGCAGCGGCTCCTCGGCAGATCTTAAAGCTCTAGTTGGCTCATAAGGGGAGATATGTTTGGATAGGTAAGTTGGACCAGAACTCTTTAGGGCTTTATAGGCCAAAGCCAGCACTTTGAATTGAGTCCAGTAGCAAACTGGCAGCCAGTGGAGCTGACGTAACGGGGGTTGTATACTCCCTGTACACCACTTCAGTAAGAATTCTGTCTGCCACTCATTAGACTACTTGGAACTTGTTGTCCCTTGTATAAAATGACAAAATCAAGGTTTCGTTTTCGGTTGTTTAAAATTAATATTTTCAAGCATGGATGAAGCCCAACTATATAGTTTTCTTTAGGCATGATAGGTATCTTGAAGAAAAATACACACAAACAGACAGGGAAAGAAAGACTATTACTTCTTGCACCAAATAGGCCAGCCTATAGGACATTTACTTGGATGGACATCTGTGTTTGTTATTGAGGCTGTAATAGAACTGTGAATTTTCTCAAGATCCCCTCTCCTCTTTCTTAATGTGTCAAGCAGAAGATGCATTTATATCTCTGAAGAAAACTCACTATTTGTTCAGCTGTCAGCGGGTTGTCCCCTTTCTCTATTGTTTTAAAATGCCAAAGGCAAATGGATGTTGTGCAGCTGTTATATGCCCTCACCACATCTTTCAGTTGCCTTATTAGTCAGAAGCAAGAGATATGTGGGACACATTCTGTCATTTCGATGATGTGTATAGTTTCTACCATAGCTAGCCAATTCCCCTCCAGCCGAATGTACCTCCTGTAGTGTTACTGAGTTTCAGCCAGTACAGTAGTACCATTGTTCATAGTCATACTGACTCATTGATTTTTCTCCTCGAATGCTCAAGTAAAGCGAGACCAAGAAAATGGAAGGCTAAGAAGATCATAGGCTGGCTACCACCTAGCATTGGAAAATCAGGCACATTATTGTGAAGTCATGGAATTAAAGCCCACAAGATGCCATGGTAGCTTCTGGCTTTAATACTTAAAATATTCTTGGGTATGTTTATTATGGGTATATGGATGTGAGAGCTGGAAAAGGTTCTTGTATCCTTAGTTAAAATGGAATAATAGCACTGTGATTCTGTAGTAACATTTCAGGGGTGTGTGTAGTGAAGATTGGTGTTTCACGGCAGCCTAGAATTCTTCTTAGAACTGAAGGAATGTGGAAATATTTGACTTTTTTCTTCTTTGCAGACATTTCTGACGAGGCCATAGTCAACGTCACTCTTCCCACTGGCATCCCAGTTCTCCTTGAGCTTGATGAAAACCTACATGCACTTGGCACACATCAGTTTCTTGGGGACCAAGAAGCCATCCAAGCGGCCATCAAGAAGGTGGAAGATCAAGGGAAAGCCAAACCTGTTGTTTAAAAATAAAGAGGACTTTACAAATATTGCACATAAAATTTTTGCCACATGTGGTGAAGGATAGAGCTTCATAGTTAGTTAAACTCTACCAACATCCTTTATTTTACATTCTCAGCAAGTGATAGGGAATGGCAGTGATATTTTCGCAGTCCATCTTTGAAGACCAGAGTTCAGATCTCAGTACAAGTAAGAGTAGAGTATCAGTTTGTTTAATTTTATGTAGAACGAGAGAATGCTGTTGCCTAAGCTTCTCACATACTTTCTATAAGAGAGAAATAATTGGTGTGCTATAGATTTATGCCAAGACCCCACCATTATGATCTGCAGAGAAAACATCTTCATGTAGCCCTCAAATAAGGACAGCAAGCTTTCAGGTTTACAAATGCTGTACCTTCATAGGAATGTTTGAGTCAGAGTACGTGTTTCCTTTTCTCTAAAACAGTCCGTTTTGTGTTGTGTATATAGCCCTTTGCTTTGTATTAAGCTATTTATTAGATGCATCACTGATTATATAATTTTTGAACAAAGTCCTTAAAACTCTCTTATCTGAACCTTTCCAGAATCGGTTCTTTCTTCCTCTCTAGCAAGGATCATTTTTGTTTATTCTCCTATGGCGGCATTGACTACATGAACTCTAAGTTAATTTAGGATGGCCCAAAGTGTGTGGTTACCTTTCTCTTGAGGTACCTTGTCCTACTGCTTTTTTTTTTTACAAAGTCAATGTGAGAACTTAAAACAAATAGAAAAAACCAATGGGATGGGTCACTCCTTCCCTTCCCCTAGCCTTCTCTTCCCCAGCCTCCCCTTTCCTTCCCCTTGCCTTCCCTTTCCTCCCCCTAGTCTTCCCTTCCCGTAGCCTTCCCTTTCCTTCCCTAGTCTTCCCTTCCCTACCCCTAGCCTCCCTTTCCCTACCCTACCCTACCCTTCCCTTCCCCTAACCTTCATCCTTACTTGGCTACTGAAAGCTTTTGTTTTTTAATGTAGAAACTACAGCACATTTGCTAACTCTTGTTGATTTAAATGCAGAACAGCTATGGTAGTAATTCAGCCAAATAAAACATTCAAACTAAATTTCTGTGCCACTGATGTTTTAGTAAGGAATTCTTTTTGGCATTTACAATGTACGAATAGCACCAAGATATCTTTTTTTATACATCAAAAGTTTAACTCAGGTTAAACAACCCTCCAGGTTGTTCTCTTTGGCTCCCTATGCTGCCAAAATTCAGTTAAGATTTCACTTTGATTTCCTATGCAAACCTGCAGTGAGGAGACCTATGCAGGCTAGCTACTACAAACAGGATGCTAAATTGCTATTTCTCCATTTGTCATGCACTGGGATATGAACTTGTCTTTTGGCAGAGAGCTGTTTCTCCACAGAGATCCACCAGTTTATTTTCTAAAATTTGACGTTACGAAAGTGGAGAGTGTTTTTTGAGCGGAGGGGAAAATGTGGAATGTTCAGGAGACTGAAATATGTTCATTGTTTTGGATTAACTTAAATTGCTTTTATGCTGTACAAGTGACAAATACAGTTTAGTTTGTACCTACAAAATGTCTTGAGTTTTTGTGAACAAATAACTGTTAATGTAAAGATCTTTAGCAGAAGGAGAAGTATTCATTATCTCTTCCCCTTCTCTTACAATTTGAAGCCATTTCCAATTATGCTTTTGTTATTGATCTAGAACATTCAGTACACAACCCAGATGTGATACTGATCCCATCCTAAAGTATAACCAGGGCATTTTTACAACAAGCACAGATTTCTAGCAGCTTAAAGGTTAGGAAGATTTTTTTTCCCATGGGTACCAGTCCTCTTCATCAGATCCATGGAGCAAAACTTCAATTAGTAGATAATTAATTTGAATGGTGGTGATGCTGGCAGCGAATAGTGATCTCAACCATTTTGGCTCCATAAGCAACAGCACTCACTAATGAATATCAAGAGAGGAAAAGATTCAATGTTTACAATTTAATAGTTTTCTCTCCCCAACTAAACACTGTGTTGGTAAACATGTAAACATTGAGCCTGTCGTCCATGGACTCCTTTGCTGGTCAGATTTTTGCCAGCATGTTTTTCAGGGTGCCTTTTTCCACCCCACCAAAGCGGCACTTATTTATCTACTTAGTTTTTGAACTGCTAGGTGAGCAGAAGCTGGGCTGATGTCAGGAGCTCACCCGGACCCGGGCTTGAACTGCTAACCTTCCAGTCGGCAGGATCTTCTATAGCAGGCGGTTTAAACCTCTGTGCTAGCCTGGCCCATGGCACTGTTTTGTTGTCGAATCACACATTTTTCATTTGCTTTTATTGGCCATTCTTTAGCCATGGGTGGCATACAAAGAAAAGTATGGACTAAATTTGGAGAAGAGAAATTGCACAAGGTAGTTAAATTGCAAAATGATGGCCCAATAAAGATGGTTTCAGACAGCTCTTTCTGGAAAGGGAGTTCCAAAGATAAGGGATGCATCAGCACTATAAAGTTACTTGTTGCATACCACATTAATTATCATGGGACTTTTAGTATAGGGAGGGACCTGGAATTCTTTCTCTAGAGAACTCTGAACTTCCTCCTGCTTCTCTTCTTCCCAACATACATTTTTTCCCCTTTGGGCTGCTTGCCCCGAGATTTATCTTTCTGTCTGGAGAAACACAGCCATTCACCAGATCTTTAGCTGGTAGTTTGGATATCTTTCTTTAGAATTAGGATTCTTAATACCTAACCACAAGCTTTTTTCAATTATTGCTCTTATTAGTATTAGTATTTATATCTTATTTTTATTATTGATTTACAGCTTTTATATTCCGCCCTTCTCACCCCGCAGGGGACTCAGGGTGGATTACAGTGTACACATATATGACAAACATTCAATGCCAATTTTTGACATACAAACATAAACAGACATAGACAGAGGCTATTTAACTTTTTCTGGCCGCCAGGGGAGCTGTCGCTTTCATCGTCCATCTGTGACGCTGATGAAGCACTTCCGCATTCCCTGCATGCTTCCCCGCTGGAATGCTTTGCTGGAGTCTTCTTTATGGCCTCATAAATCAGTTAATTTAGCCTCCACACACTTTAAGGTGGCACCTAATTTTCCTACTTGACAGATGCAACTGTCTTTCAGGTTGCAAAGGTCGACAACAGGCTACACACAACTGGTTGGAAACCCACTCCAACCTGGGCTTGCTTCCTTTCTCCCAAATGAAACTCAAAGTGGCTAATACTAAAAATCATACAATATGTAAATTAAAACCAAATTATACAAACATTAAAATTGAATTAAACACTGGACTGATGAAGCCACAACAGTTAAAGTCCTGTCAAACAATGATAACTGAAGAGTGTCACAGCTGAAGAGACCCTTCTTGAGATGGTGCTATTGCTTTTCAATTGATGAAAAGCACTGGCCAGTAGTTTCCGCCTGGTCCATGTAATAACCTATAGATTAATGTAGGAGCACTCAGACTTTTTGGTATCTATTTTGTAACCTATACTATTGGCAGTGCTTTTGGGAGTGAGTTGTCACCAATCAAACCTGTTTCCTTAAGAACTGAACATTATGCAGGGGGATATTTATTTATTTCCAATATATCTATCCCGCCCTTCTCAACCCCTGAGGGGGGACTCAGGGCAGCTTACAAACCGGCCACAATTTGAAGCCTCAATATAATAATAATAATAATAATAATAATAATCCTTTATTTATACCCTGCTACCATCTCCCGAAGGACTCGGTGCGGCTTACAAGAGGCCGAGCCCAAATACATCAGTAAAACACAACAACAACAGTACAATAATAATAAAAAATAAATAAACACTCATAAACAAAGCAAAAAAACATTTAAAATAACACCGCGGCGCATTAAAACCTGTGGCATGGCCAAATGTAATACTTAAAATCTTTTTAAAAAGTGCTGGGCATGATCAGGTGAAATAGGATAGATATTTTAGGGATAGGAGGGGCGTGCAGACAATTCTAGATCTCTGGTAAAGTGCATTTGGGACATATTGCTTGGAGTTTCCTTATTCTAGGAAGGCATACTGGAACAACCACGTTTTCAAGCTCCTTCTAAAGACTGCCAACGTTGGGGCATGCCTAATGTCCTTGGGGAGTGAGTTCCAGAGTCGAGGAGCCACCACCGAGAAGGCCCTGTCCCTCGTCCCCAACCATCGCGCTTGCGATGCGGGTGGGATTGCGAACAGGGCCTCTCCAGATGATCGAAGAGATCGTGTGGGTTCGTATACAGAGATGCGGGCATGCAGGTAGGCAGGTCCCAAACAAATATAAACACAAATAGCAACAGTTTAAAACAGTAAATAAAACATTATGTTAAAAACATGTTAAAAACATTGTCATCAACCATATTGCCAATTCAGTCCGGTACAACATACAAGGTGCTGTCATGCCTGCTGTCCAAAGGCCTGGTCCAAGAACCATGATTTAACCTTCCTAATAGAAAGGAGGGAAGAAGCCGACCTGATCTTGCTGGGGAGCGAGTTCCACAGGAGTGGGGCCACCGCCGAGAAGGCCCTGTCCCTCATCCCCGCCAAGCGCACTTGAGGCTGACGGGACCGATAGCAGGGGCTCCCCGGATGATCTTAAGTTACGAGGCGGGACGTAGAGGGAGATACGTTCGGACAGGTAAGCTGGGCCAGAACCGTATGGGGGTTTATAGGCCAAGACCAGCACTTTGAATTGTGCTCGGAAGTGGACCGGCAGCCAGAGGGGCTGGCACAACAGGGGGGTGGTGTGCTCCCTGTATGTCACTCCAGTTAAAATCATGATCCCATCATTACTGTTGGATTGGAATGGTTAGGGGAAATGGGATTTATAGCAAAGGCTGTGGATTCATTGGGAGGGAAGAGTACTGTGTAATCAGCGCTGTTGCTCAAGGACAAGACTGTCCTGTTCAGTGCCATCAGGTTGGTCCTGAGTTGCAACTATAGAAATGAACAGTAGGTGGAAGTACAGTGACATGATTGTTTCTGCCTAGTTTGAAAACTGAAATTTGTGGGACTTCCAAAAATCAAGCAACTTGAATACATATAGAAAATAAAAATTATAGCAGAGCACCTGATGAACCAACCTGGACACAGCATATTATTTGAGAACACAGAAATGCTGGACAACTCTCTCACAACCACCATGTCAGACTACACAGAGAAGCCATTGAAATCCACAAGCATGTGGACAATTTCAACAGAAAGGAGGAAACCATGAAAATGAACAAAATCTGGCTACCAGTATTAAAAAAACTCTACAATTACAACAGCAAAACAACAGAGAGTAAACAATCAGGCACATCAAATCACCTCTCAAAGCAAGATTCCCCCAGGCACTTCCAAGCCATTAAATGCTAATCAAGGTGGTCAGTTGAAACATTCACACCTAGCTCCAGTAGACAAAAGTCCTTTGTCCCACCCTGGTCATTCCACAGATATATAAACCCATTATTTCTACTTCCAACAGACCTCACTACCTCTGAGGATGCTTGCCATAGATGCAGGTGAAATGTCAGGAGAAAATGCCTCTAGAACAAGGCCATATAGCCCGGAAAACCTACAACAACCCAATAAAAATTATGATTGTAATGGACCAAGCATGGAAACAGAAGAGAGTAGAATAAAAACAACCCAAGTTGTAGTTGTATGCTTTTTACTTATGGCATTTTCCATAAATAAAGATAATATGTTCCATAAACAATGAAAGTATTTTCCAGAAAGAGAGCCAGTGTGGTGTTAGATCATGTCTCTGGAGACCTGGATTCTGAGACCCTATTCAGCCATGGAAACTCACTGAGGGGCTTTGGGTAAGTCACTGTCTCTCAGCCTCAGGGGAAGGACAAGGCCTCCTTCTTGGACAAACCTTACCAAGGAAATCTGTGCTAGGTTTGCTTTATTGTCACTAGAGATTGGAAACAACGTGAACATGTCAAAGAACAATATTTTCTTCCCTTAAAACAATTTGGAAAGTGTGAAACAGTTGGAACACTAGTTTTCATTCCAGACCCACGTGTGATTGGCTACTTAACCTTTAGCAATGTAATGTCAGAAGGAGCCTATTGATTATTCTTTGGGTTTTGATACTTGGTTGGCAGTACCAGTCTAGAAAATAATGCCACTTTTGATACAAAAGTTAAAAATAGCTGAGGAGGACCCCTTCCCTCCAATAATAAGTTATTTATTTATCATATCAGAAATGAGTTGAGGGTACAGTTAAAATGCATTTAAAAACACAAATCGAGTTTTAAAAAAGAACTTGGCATTATGCTAAATGTGCTTTGACCAGAAGCCGGCCACTTGGAGTATCTCTGGTTTCGCTGTGAGAAGGTCCTCCATTGTGCATGTGGCAGGGCTCAGAAGTAGGTGGTCTGTGGTTTGCTCTTCTACACACTTGCGGAGTAATCCAACAGTTTCAAATATTATTTTTCAGCATTTTTGCTCAATAAACATTGCTTTTTTGTTTGCTTATTTATTACAGTCGTGGACATGGTGACAACTTCAATTTGATCTCTTTTGGATGAATTGTTCTGGCTTACACTGGTGGGAGGAAACA